CAATAGCATAACATGGTTACATCGATATTGCGCCACTGATATTAGAGGAAACTATCTGTCGAGGCGAGATGAATAGGTCAAATCAATAATACAATTAGTTTCCTAAAACAATCACTCTTAATTCGAGGAGAATTATGCCAAACGAATAAAATTTATTTAGATAAATCTGTGGCAAATTTTCGGATGCAATCCATCAAAATCTGCTTGTAATATATTTAATATGTGATTCAATTAACTATATCAGCGCATAATCAATCTCTAATTTAAGAAATTAATTCTTTAGAAACGTCCAAAATCGATTTGACATTAATATGATTAATCGCATCTCGGAAAGATCGTGAGCCGCATTTGCCTAATCAAAGCGTGTTCAATTAGCGGGATGAATTATTTAGAGCAACTCGGACAACGGCGTGCGCAACTTTTTACATAAACATGAGGGAATATCGGTTTTTCTCGAAGATGGACGGTCCAACGGAGCGGGATTACTTCATCTCGTATGCCTGTGTGCTGCTTCCGTCACGTATAAACGCGACCTCTACTTGTTTGGCAACAAGCGCACTGCGTTTCTTATCCTTTATGGCCCGTCCAACATGTTGCATCTCGTCTTCAAATAGATTTTACCGGTCTCTCAAATCATGACTATAAGTCTGCTCTTCTCGGCTATATTTTTTGCACTTTTTTGTGCTTGAAATGGATCGGACGTATGCCGATGTATTTCGGTGGAGGATTTAGTTAAAAAGAGCTCATTTCATAAAAGATCTTAATTAAATAAATTTATTTATCTGTCTTTTTCCGATGTTGTAAATTTTTTTTAAAAGATTTTAATTAGATAAGTAAGAGTATGTGCATTTTATTTAAGAGAGTTAATTTTACAGTTAATGTGATATCATTTTGTGTGTTTGCTTTATAAAGTAAAAATGTTTTATGCATTTCAATTTTAAAGTTTAATTCATGAATATTCCTAAGTTTTTCATCGATCTCAATAATTTAGTAACTTAATTAATAATTTTTAATAACTTAGAGAAGGTGTTTGCGCTACCTTAATTTTCGCTCAAATTTAGTAGCATTTGTAGAGACATGTTAAAAAATTGACTTACTCTCCCTAACTTACATAATTCGATAAAATCAACATAGTGACACATGACGCGTGACTCAGCAAGAAAAAAAAAACAGTTCAGCGACTATTTAATTCTCAGTTCATGAGATCGAAAAAATCAGGTTTTTTAAGAATTAGAACAAAAATTTTTAGAATCTGATTTTAACAAACTAGATCAGCGAGACCAAAATAGTAGCAAGATGCATATTTTATAATTAATTTCAAGGACTTTGCGGATGAAGAAGTACAAAAATTGGACAGTTGCAGTTTCCTTAACTCGGATCTTACGCCGCAATTCGTAAAATTCATCTTACGGGCTGAGAATTAAGAAACCATCCCTTTGAGACCCCATCGTTCTCGACAGGACGCGTGGGGCGATGCGCGTATGAGATGGAGGAGAGGAGGAGGCGATGCCGGAGATTGGGAGAGCGGCTCCCGCGCGAGCTGATCTCTGCCAAAATAATTAGGAAGTCGTCGTCGAAGACGTGCTAAAAACGTCCGCTCGGGCGCGCGCGCGCGCGATTTGGCCGGCTAGTCGCGTCCCGGGCGCTCGAGCGAGCTGGTCTGTCCGGATAAGAGAGAGTCCTCGGGTGAGAGAACAGTCCGCAGCAGCGGAGCGTCGTGGTGGCCGCAGTACCGCGCGACCGGTCGCCGAGTCTGTGCCGTATCGCGCGGCGTGTCTGTCCACCGAGGCCGAACTGATGCGAGCGACTGCGCTCCGTCGAAAAAGGATACAGTCAGCCGCGTCAACATCCCAAAGGGTTAGTTCTGCCATTCGCGATTTCTCAATCCTCAACTACATGAGACTTTTTCCCCAAAAAAAAAAAATCAGGCGCTCGAATGGAAACTTTAGCTTTGAATTAAAATTTAAAACACGATGTCATAATCATAGTAGATCAATGAAAAGTTCTATCATTCTAGTCTAATTAACGGAAAATAATTTTGTAAAAAATTGCTAGAATCATATCATTATGACTTTTGTACTTCACACTTGACATCGGTAACAATGTAGTCACAGTAAAATGGCATTTAAAGTGGATTAATGTGGAAACTTTAAAATTGTATTTAACCCTTTCGTGACCAGCGAGACATATGTGTCCCACTAACTTTTCCATTTATTCTATCTTACTCAGAGTTCAACGGAACAAATGTTTTTTTACGTTTTTTGAAAACCGAAAGAGAAAGGGAAAAAGGGATAATAAGAAATACTTTCTCATTTAGCATTTATTTGAGTTTTAAAATACATTTTACGTAAAATTACATATAAAATACGCTCATTAATAAAAAGGAAAAATTGACAGACTTGTACTTTGCGATACTAGTTGAGGATTGAGTGTTATTCGTTCCGATTACGTTGTTTCGGATTTTTGTGCTAGCCTTGAATATGAATGAATATGAATGAAAAGATTCCATGGGAGTCATGCGTGACGTATGTAATTTACCATTTGTCAGCTTTTTCGCGAAATTATTTTCTCTGACCGCATTTTACCTCGACTTTTCTAGCTGGCGCAAAAAGTTGACATTTGATGATTACAAAGAACGTAATGTGAGAATTGGATACAACGTGTTTAATTACTTACTTGCCAATCTTTTCGGCGGGTTTTGTCTTTATTCCGAACATGTTATTTAAATTTATGAAGCAGCACAGGTGATTAACTCGCATCTAAAGACTGAGCGAGAAAATCTTATAGAAATTTTACATGTGGATATTAATTATTTCTCATTCTTTTAATAGAATCTATTTATCCTTCACTTCCGATTTTACAATGCATTCGAATCCTGAGAAGCGCAACAAGTTAATATTTGAAGAATTCCGCGGAAACGGAATATTGACAGAATTGTGTATAATTGACGTTAATATTGCCGATAGCTTCCTCATTTAAGAGAAATGGTATGGAAATTACAGTCACGATAATTAATTATCTTTTCTTTTTATCGATCGCGTTATTTAGGGTGACTTTTTCAGGTGATAGAAATAATTATATATCCAGCTATAAAAGGATAACGTAAGAATTATTACGTAAAAATATAACGTAAGAATTATAGATACGTATAATTATCTAAGGATTTGTTAACCATTTAGTGCATGTTGTAAGCTTAAATTTATCATCCTAATTACATTAGAAATTAACGTTCAATAAATATTACAGATGGCATAGATAAACGTTTAAACGTTTTATTTTAAGCTGCAGACCTCTAGAGCTTCGTAAAGTATGCAAAATGAAGAAAAAGATGTTCCACCATGTATTAACATTTAACATATACGGCTCAAATTATAAACCAGCCGAAAAAGAAATAGACATTCTTTTGGGCTTTCGCCCAAAGTCCAAAGACAAAAGTCCAAGGAATATGTAAAATACATCTAAACAATGTTTAAAATATCCAGCGGTTTTTAGACGCATTTTAGACATCTTTTGGCACGTCGCCAGCATGTTAGTGAGGATTTTCGAGCGCTTTTGATTCCAAACTGCTATCTCGAATTTGCAAGCAAACGTGGAAGGTTAATATTCAATGATTGTGAAGCGAGAGACTGTCATGAGAATATGTGTATTTAACGATTCGGCAGCGCGTGCTCGTATAAATGCCCCGTGGAAAATATAAATCTTCAAAGCAAAGGAATTTCACAAAGTGTCGAGAGTTTGCCACGAGAGCGATTTCGAGCTTACATAAGATCTGGCGAAACTCATCAGACAGAATTATTTTGTAAATTGCGTATGCTTAATTTTAGCTGCGAAAAGATGTAACTCGAATTAATTTTTGGCGTTGACGAGTGCTCGTTTTTGATAAAGTTTAATTATTTAACTCGAATAACAACTTTTATTCGTGCGATTCGTTCACGGTATTGTTCACTTTTGAACTTGACTTGAATTTTCGTATCAACCTTGAACGTGCATCCATTGAGCTTGTGAATAAAAGTTTGGAATTTTACATCGATCGGAAAGATGTACTTGTATTTCGGCTTTTCTATTGGACTTATTCTCTTGCACTTCTTTTAGCTTTCATTATAATTTTGGAATTCTGACATACATTATTACGAATGTAGCATTTATACAAATTCCTCAATGCCTCGTCGATATAAATAATAACTTTATCACGTGTATTGTTAGTGTTACACTAATCCATATGACAGACTGTTTACGTAGATTGAATTAATATTTTGTTCTGACAATGAAACGCGATAAACAATCTGTCTTCTCCGTTCCGTCAAAACCAGCTGAATGACGTCGCGCAGCGGCATGCGTAAGAGATTCGAAATAGATAAAAAGAGAAAAAACTGGTGGAAATTTATTTTGAGAAATTTTGCGCGCAAATAATCCCGAACGGAACGATCCCCGGCGCGTTATTTTCCGCTGCGGAAATTCGCTGAGGAATTAAAAGATCGAAGTAGTATCGAACTGGCTTCGGTCAACACTCTGAACAGTCGCGGCGACTTATTATCGCGACGTGTCGCGGTTACGTAAGGACAACACGCCGCGCGATCCGTCGACGGTTCCGCCGGGAGTCTTAAAATACGCGCCAAGGAAATAGCCTAGCAGAAGCCCGAAAATAGCCGTACACGTCACGCTCCGCTCGACCAATGGCGTTGCTCCACATGCTCGCTGTCCGCGAGACGCGCCGCGACGCGTGTCGGCGCAACGATGCCGTTACTCGGATGCACCGGAACGGCGCGCCGCTCTGCGAATGTCCCTTCCTCGAGGTGTCGCGAAAATTATCGCAAAGATTTTTAGCGCATGATCGATCGCCGATCAAATCGCCACAACCATAAATTCTTTAGAAAAATACAATTCATCGCGGTGCGCGACGGCGCAGTCGCTGTCGTCGCCGCGTGTCGCCAGGCGGCGCTGACGTTTGCGCGATGATTCGCCCGAATCACCATGCCAGTCTCGCGGAAGCGGAGGTCAGGTTAGCAGTAGTCGTGTTGGTTACATTGTCAGGAAAATGACGTGCGTCCCGTGCATCCGCGCCTCGTGATAATTCGCTCGTGTGACTCGCAGTAGGAACTCTCGCTTCGGCTCAATCCGCTCCTTACGTTCGTACGTCACGAGGGAGTCGAGGCGGAAACGCATACTCGTAAGACGTGATTGATTGTGTACTCTGTCGCACGGATAAGCACGCGAGCCACCGCCGCCACCGCCGTCATCATCATCGTCGCTACCGCTGCACGGCTAACCTAAATATTCGGCGGCCGTAACGTAATTTTCTCTCTTTCTCTGTCTCTCTTTCTCCCTCTGTCTCACTCTCCTCGTTTTTTCTCTCCTTCCCCCCCATCTTTTTCTTTTCCTCTCAGTCTCTCGATCTCCATCTCTCTCGCTCTCCGTGGACACGTCGTCATCGACGACAGCCGTGCCCGTCGCACGTCAACGCGACGCAACTCCCTCGCTTCGTGTGCTAACAACGCGAGCCGCGAGAATCCCGTAGCGAGGATATCCCGCAGCGGATTCGTGAGTGCATGTCGCGCGGACACGTCGCGCTTCGAACAGTGCGTCTGAATCGCGGTGGAGTGCGCGCCGCGCTTCTTCCGTCGTCCTCATCGCCGTCGGCTCATCACGCGGAACCACCGTTGCGTTTCGTAATTTCGCACGGAGGCGGAACACCGCGGGACAGTCCCCTGCGCCGCGACAACACCTTTGGTAGTTGAAGTTCACTTTATCTTTTTCTTTTTCTCTCTCTCGCTTCTTTCGCGTTCGCTGCCGATATCAAGAGACACGGTAGTGTCTCGCGCCAATTACACATTTACGTGGCGAGCGCCTAATGGATTCTCCAATAGTGAAGTTTTGCATTAATTTTCCGTTAAGACACGTGCAAGATTTTCCGTTGTATAATTTTACATCAAATTGTTCTGAATTATACTATCTTTTACCTAACTATATTGAGGCTGGAATATAATCTAGGAGATAATAAGGGCTGCTAAGGACTAAGGTTGAAAAATAAATTTAGACAAAAAAATTGTCTTGCTTTATCTTATCTAACGTATCTTATTTCTGTATCTTGTATTTTACTTATTTCTGTGAAGTGTGGGAATAAATATTTTATCATAAGAGAATATAAACATTTATAGTAAATTTTAATAAAAATAGTTAAACCTTTTAATATTCATATATATATATGTAACATAATATTTGAAGGCTAACCAGATAATTTATGACATAAATAATGTGATATAATTGATGATATAAATATTTATTTAATACAACAGTATAGTTCTAAAATACGGAATTAACTTTGGTCATTGATATATAACTGCTTACATTTGTATGTTTGACTTTCAGATCTTGTCACAATATAACAAAAATTGCAAATAAGTCATTACTGATAGATATATAAAAGGTGTATATATACATAAATAGTTAGAAATCATAGGAGAATTTCTCTATAGATATTCTTTACGGATAAAATTTCTTTTCTGGTCTCTTTTATCTGACTTAAAATACTGAAACAGTTTGGTCGATTTACAAAATTGTAGATCAACATCCTCAAGCAACCTTCAATATATACCATGCACTGAATGCAGCGTTTAGGATGTTAGTTTCTCTGGCAAACTTGATTGATTTATTTAATTTTCTGCTTTATTCAGTGCTAGCAAAAATGTAAAATATCTTTTTTAACGAATCATTTTTTATCTGGTTTCAGAAATTGTTAGTGTGAATGAACGTATACAATCACTGAGCGGATAACATTGGTGAAGTATCAACGAAGCAGTAACCATGGAGGACGGCCATTCTAAAACCGTGGAAGAGGTGGTAAATTACTTCGGTGTCGATTCTGAAAAAGGACTGTCTCCGGATCAAGTCAAGAGGAACCAGGAGAAGTATGGTCTCAACGGTAAGTAATCTTTTACACACTTTAATTTGGGCGTTTCTAATAGACTCGTGGATTTATTTATATATCTTATGTCACAACTGAAGGATCTGTTTGTGTCGAAAAGGCGCGCGCAAGTTCTCTTAATATCATACAAATTAATTTATAAAATATTTATGAAGCGCTCGTGGCATTTGATGTAAATTGATTTACAAAACAAATTTAGAGGAGTAAAACAAATCTCATATTCTTGTTGTTTATAAAACTCATTGACATGCAATACGAATGATCGCGCGAGGCCTATGCTTGGATTATCGCCGGTCGAAGATTAAATTTCAAGTCGAGTTTTCTTCCATTATATCTCAAATGATCTACTGTATTTTCATGGTTATTCAATAACTAATTTTTAGAGCAATATTCTGTTAAAACGTAGTTAAAATTAAAAATGCAAAGTTTCCGTAATTAATTATCGGTCGAATTTAATTTTTGACTCTCAATGAATTCGATTCTAGATTGATTCTTCGTTTAGAAAAATTATAAAAGACATTTTAATAGTCGCCGGATACCTTTTACGTAGATATCTACACGTTACGCGTAGCACACGTACTCGAAAGCGATATCGCGGCAGTCGCGGAAATATCGCGCGTTTACTCGCTACTGGGGTCGAGGAGCGCGGTAAAAGCGACTTTATCAGGCTACTACGTCGCCGTGTAGCCACGCGTGTGTGCTCGTCCCCACCATTGCACGGATTACCACCGCCAGTTACTTCCTCGTACACGTGTTCGAAGTCCGTAGTCTTCTCTCAATGATGACTACATATGTATCTATCGTTTGGTTGCGAATGTAGTACCGTTTTCTACATTTCACCTTTTAAGAGCTATATGTTTGAAGTCTTAATATGCTTCATTTATGTGGGCGTTTGAAATGAGAAGAGTGTATCCGTAATAGTAAAAAGTGTATTATTATCCGTAGAAAGAAAGTAAATGAGAGAATATTATTCATAATAAAAATTTAAAAAAATGCAAGATTTCCTTTACTGCTTGATTTTGTTTTACAAATTAATTTAATACTTCTAATTTAAATATTATATGTATTTCGTAATTGTTTTATGAATTATGTTAATTTATATAAAATATTATAAACAAATTTAGCTCATTATATCATAAATAATATCTAAAGCTTTGTTCCATCGAAACTTCAATGACAGACTCATCTATATTCTGCATTTCGCGAGATTGATTTAACCACCTGAATGCGGTTTTGCCACTTCCCATACATGGCTTCATTTCGAACTGCTTATGACGTGTATCTATCGTTGGTTACAATAATGTAATCAGGGACGTTTAAATTATCGACATTCCAGTTTCCGTCGCCGACAAACCGTTCGATTGAATCGCGTATATATGTTTCGGAAAACCGAATTGCGCTGACGTCAAGATTTAATCACACTTGAGATTTATAATAATAATTCTTCGAAATAGTCGGAACTTAACTCGATAATAGTGCTCGAGATTAACGAACACGTCAATAGCCCGTGACAAATATATTGCGATAAAGAAATTTGTATTTGTACTTTTAATCCTGTGATATCAATTCAATTTTTACTTTATTCTAACATTACAATTGGAATAACAATTAAAACCTTACATTGATAATATTTGCAAAATTGAATATGCAATAATAATTATGCAAGCGTAAAATTTGGCAATTATGAAACGCAGAATATATTCAATATTTAATAACACTTTTATTCTTTCTTCCTTTTTGCAAAAACACGTTATATAATTTGAAATTAAAATAATACAGTAAGAATTTTACCGATTTTACAAAATTCAAAAATATATCATTTTGTCTATGTAAAATCTCTATTTCAATAATTAGAACGAAGTTTATACTCTTTTTTTTCGTGCATTACAGTATAAATCACGAATTACAATTATGTTCCAATTATGTTACAGTTCTTTAACTTTGTTTTTTAATTGTATTCATTATAGAGTATTTGATCAAATACTGCTCGATTTAAAAGTCAGGATTAAAGTAGGAAATACTACTACGCTCGAATTAAATAGTTCAACGAAATGGCGATGCACGTTATGTTTTTTTTTTGTTTAACATGGCAACTTTTATCGACTTTAACGGCTGTGAAGTTAATCCTATCCGGCAATCACACGGTTCGAAGAGAAGCAGTGCGCACGTGTCTCGAACAGTTTATTTTTGCGTAACGGCCGCTAGTTAGCGCCCGTTGAAATAAAATACCGGACGTTCCTTCTCAGGAATCAAGTCTCGAAAGAATCCGGTAAATAATCGGCATGACTTATGAATATCTTACGTGATATGTTTATCCGTTCTGCAAAGATTTTTATGCAAAAGAGAAAAAGAAGTCTCTCCGGCAAAACCTGATTGCAAGAATGCAATTGAAAGAGCATATATTAATACGTGGAACGAAGCGAACTAAAAATGACACGCTGTTAATATTTCTGGATCTTGATATTTTTACAAATTACTATCGAATGAACTGTGTCTACAATGAAACAGAAAAAGAAAATAAAAATAAAGGAATGAACAAAGTAAAAGAAAACAAAGCTGAATATTATTCAGTGATTTTAATTAATTTTAATATGGATGAAATGAGCAATTCAATTAGATTATTCGATCAAATTCCTTCCGTTGTCCTCGAAATATTTCGTTAGCAAACAAAATTTTTCTCACTTTAATATTTTCTGGCTTGTTTAGAAAAACCGAATTTTTGGAAATAATCGAAGAAAATTATTTTAAAACATTTTTTATTAAAGGAATTATTGAAAAATAAGATTTTCATCGATGGATGAATAAAATTTGTCAATATTTTTTATGTAACAAGTATACTAATTTGCGTTCATTATTGCAAAAGTGCGTTATTATGCTTGCGTCATATGGACTATTCCGGAATTTTTGAAGCTATTCGCATGTATATTCGCGATAAACATTACACGGGGATTATGGAGCTACAAAATAGGCTAGTGCGCGGCGAAGTATCGTCTTTCGTTTACGAAAATAAAATACAGCGAGCAACAAGTCCGTCGTCGAAGTCGAATCTTATAGTTAGACGTTATCTGGCGTGTTCCGCCGCTATTTTGACGCGCTCCTTCGTCACGCGCCCACCTTATCGCGCGGTACAATTGTTTTAAATAACATAGAGTGTTCCAGAATCACAGAATCACTCTTTTCCGCTATGAATTTTCTCACTTAAAATGTGACCAGGAATGCGATTTGTCGCAACTTTTTTAACTTTAAGTGTTTTAGCGAGCATTTGCTTCGAATGAAAAATTTACATTACGAACTATAAACTTTCAAGAACTCGAAGTTCAATCAACTCCTGTTGAAGTTCACATAAAATTAAAAAGTTACATTTTTTAGCTTTTTTTAGCTTTTTTAAAGTTTGTTTGTAACACAAAATAAAATCGATATCTCGATTTTTACATTCCAATGTGTGGAGCGTTAAAGCTCAGGCTCACAATGCGATAGTTGTTGATAGTTGATGGAAAACAGTTCCGAGATAGCATGCGCATATAGTGTATCCTCACAGGATAGGCTATAATTTCATCTTCGCGTGAGTATACGTTCTTATTACGGAGAAATCACTAGAATTAAACGGCGATGATTACTTATTGCGGCTAACGTTTTCATACATAGTAGTGGTAATTAATGCTTAACTGGTCAAACGGCCTTCGTTATCAACCGACAGTAAAGTTTACGTTCTCTTTCTGGTGGATTTAAGTTCTTCCTTATGTTGGTCATAATGAAAATGGCGCCAAATTAACGTAATTGTTATTCTATTGCTCAATTCTAGCAAACGACGCTATAAAGTTTTACGGGCGTGATCAATCGATCCCTTTAATACGATTGCACAATAATCATCACAAAATGTTTTGTGTAACATTGATATTGCAAGAAAAAAAAATTAAAACTTTATTGCATCTTTATGCGTAAAGTTAATCATATTAATTTATAAACACGTCGAATGTTAAATACACGCTCTTCAAGTCTCGGAGATTCGCTGGACGAGAGAAACCCGAGAGCGATACACGCAACGCGTAACACTTTGAGGTTCCAATCGATCCGGTAATGCGACCGTACCTCTGTTACAAGTTTGATGGATAGTATAATTCAATTGCACGTGGCCGAGCACGTTTTGCATCTGGCAGACTGCATTCAATCGCCTGGATGGTCGGCATTAATTGCGTCAAGAACAAAAAAAAAAACGTAATCTCATCTAGGACAAACTCGATTCGCGAGCAAAGTTGGCCTCCTCCCTAATTCGGGATTTCGAAATGTCAATTTTGTACGCATAAAGTAGAGAATTTAAAAAATCCAAGCGTCAGATAATTTTTTTTATCAAACAAACGTCTTCTTGTTGTCGATTATTATATATTATATTAAATTAGCATAATTGTTGCGCGAATCAGGCAAGAAATCTCTTAAATTTCAGCATAACTTTTGGAATTAAAAAGTTACAAGGCTTTTAAGTCGCTTATTTTCCTTTCATTTGCAAGATAAAATTAGAAATCAATCGAAGAACATAATTGAGCATGTGTTTACATTGACGTCACGCGAAACGAGTTAGGATATCTGTCTCGATATAGTACTATTTTCTATGAAGAACTTTGTTGATTTTCATCGGATAAGTATAATAAACGTAAGTAAGCCTCGTAGACATTATGAAAAACGAGTATTGTTGCGTAACAGATTCGCCATCTAAATTGTGAATGCTATATTTATAGACGCTGCCTCTCCTATTTTCCGATAAATCATTCTTAGCACTCAGAATTTTCCGGCATTACATAATATTATCGTAATACATGTCGAAACAATAAATTATTTATTATATTTGTGGGTATACTTAATTAATATTTTTATATTTACGGAGAGTAAAAAAATTAATATGTTTTTAATGAGTTTTTGATGGAATTTTTTTAGTAAATTCTAAGCGTAGAAAAATTAAATATAATAGCAGATAAGGAAAGGAATCCCTCGTGGAAATTAAG